GGCAGGGACCCCCTCGCCCGTGCGCTCAGCGCAGGGGGGCCCCGGGAACTCACCGTCACGGGTAACTGCCTTTCCGAGGTGCTCAGCGACTCGTTGACAGAGCAGTGGATGACTTTGTCCGAAACAATCTGGATCTCGCACGAGATAAGGCCAATTTTCACTTGGTACTCGTTGCTTTCCAGGCCCAGGCTGTCAGGCTCTTTCTAACGACAAAAATAGAATCAGGATGTCAGCCTCTAGAGTAGCAGCTGGAATTGCAAAGGATTTTCCTGCCTTACTTTCCAAATTCCCTGCTGTTTTTCAGACCTGGGAGGACTCTCCCTCACCAAGGACATTTTTCCAGCTCTCCACAGGAAGCCCAGAACTTGGCCATTCCCCATTTTCCTGTTTCCCATTCCTCACTCTGCATGGGGCATGGGATGAGCAAGCCTCTCGTGGAACCTGGAAAAATCTTTTGATCTGCCCAGGCTGCGCACCGCAGATAAGGGTCTCAGTGCCCACCTGGGAGGGGAAGGATCTGCAATGGAGGAGACAGCCAGGGGATGCGTCTGCAGAGCCTGAGAAAGGGGGAGTGCATTTCTGAAGCACGTTGCGACCCGCGAGGATATCCTGCAGTGAACAATGGCCTTTGAGTTACTGTTGCTCATTGTCCAAGCCACTCAATTGCTTGTTACCCCGACTTCCTTGTTAACTAAGCTGAAATCAGTAGCCAAAAGAGAAGAATGCACGACCTGTTTCTGCAGGAATAAATATCTATTGTCAGGACCTTCTGGAGCACCTGCCTGATTTCAGGCCAGTGCATTATCATTCTTTTTCATACATCCAGTATTTTATTCAGCTTCGTGCTACCACATCCTTCAAACGCAGCTCTCTGTCGTCATGCCTGGAAGGGCATCCTCAGGTCAGGCTGCGTTTCCCGGTGGAGCGAGATGCAGGTGCAGCAGGCTAAGCACGAACTGCCCGCTCCTGCCTGCCTCCTGCCTCTCCCACCGCCCTTCCCTCTCCTGCGCTTCTGGACAGCCACTGTGCTGGGACTTAGGCCTGAAGAGCTTCCCCGTGGGGAGCAGACAACTCCCCCAAAGAAGCTAAGCTGTAAACGCCGCTCTCTTACGTGTATAACCAGAGTTAAGGGCTCGCCAGGATGGTGCTTGATCCACTTCTCCTTCTTGGCTGTGAAGAACTGGGGGTCAGCATAGTACTCCAGGCTGAACTTGCTGATGTGCAAGGCCTCCTCAGGGTACATCTCCTCATCCAGAGCCGGATGCTCATCTGCATAGAGGCGACCGTTGAGATAGAAATCGACGGGTGCAGGCTTGCTCCCCGCAGTGATGTTGGAGGCAGCTGGAGAGGGGCAGGTGATCATGGTGTCGGTGTGAACCTTACAGCTCTGAAAGCAGGAGAGGGCATGCACGTCAAAAACCCAACACCCCGAGTGCCCCTGCCCAGCCTTGCTCCGAGCCCAACCTGCAGCACGGGCTGAGGCTCAGCTTCACACCCCGAATGTCCTCAGGCACCGGGCGCGCAGCCCTGCTCCCAGTTACTGGGTGACACCCAGCGGGGACACCCACCGTTTGCTCTCTGCCGATGCCACGGACGTCCATGGACACGTTCTGGACCAGCTCAAAGCCTGTTCCTTCCAGGGTGATGATCCTGCCCCCGCTTCGAGGAGAAAGGAAGAAAGAGCAGGTGACTGCAGAGGACAACACAGCAGCGAGGTGCAATGGCTGGGTCTCCCTTTTTTCCTTTTCCCAGGGATGTTTCCCAGCTGCTTGCACAGAAAATATAACCCAGCAGCCAAAGTCTTCTTCCTACTTAGAGCAAGCATCCATGCAGCTACCAAGATACCAGGGGAGGAAGGAGGGGCAGCAGCTGCCGTGCTGGAAAGTGGGTGACCTCTCCTAGCAGCAGCAAACTGTCCCACTTACCCCCGCTCCCCAGAGGAGCCGCCTGCCGCCGCACGCCGGGTACGCAGCAGGTCGCCCAGGCCACCGCCGGTGTGAGAGGTTATCCTCCAGCAAGGGGGTTACCCTCTCCCAGGGCCAGGAGACGCTCCCTGCCCCTGCACTGCAGAGAACTGCAAGTCTTGGAGAGGGAAGAGACCCCTGTGTAAGGAGGACAAGGACCCTGCATCTCCCAGACACTTTTGATTTAGATCACAATGTGAAAGTTGTTTTGTGTTTTGGATCTGCTGCCTGGGGAATGCAAAACAGGGGCCTCTCAATGTGCAGGCAATTAACGACAGTAACGAGAGGGCCTTGATGACTGCTAGGCAGAGCTAGGGGTGGAGAACCGGGGCTGCTTGTCTGTTCTGCCCAGCAGAAGCTGTACCCTGGATTTACCTTCCCTCCTTCCACATCACATTTGATCTGTTTGGAGCATCTGTCAGGGCACAGTCAGGACTCACAAATCCTGCTATCTGAAGACCACTCCAGATACAGCGACCTTGGGCCCAAGGCCTGAGAGTCAGGTTCTCTGAGATCTGTGCGCACTTTACCACGTAGTTACAATCCAAGCTTCTAACTAAGAGCCCGTCACATCCGCAGAATTTACAACTCCTGTTTTGTTTTAAACTTTGCTTACACAAATTATTTTAGCAATGTGGTAAGATAAATCGGATCCAGCTAAATCTTTACACAAGTTATTGACCCCTTGACAGCCCGGCAAAGCACTGGAGCAGTCAGACTACACGAGCCACCAAGCAGTCTGAAGAGAGAGAGACTGCTGTCACGTCCTCGGTGGTCTCAGATTTGGAAACTGCTGTAAATACGAAGAAAGCAGACGAAGGTGACGGAGAAATACCCAGGTGGTTTCCCCTGTGCATACGGGCAGTGACATTCTTCCGCTGTCTCCGTGTTTGGATACCGCTCTCACCGCTCGGCACAGTTTGCAAGCTGGCTGGGAGCTGAGGTTGGCTGAGTCACTGCTGCGCCTTGTCATTAACTTTCCCACCGCCTGCATCTCTGGCACCGCGCTTGGGAATGCCG